CACACACACGCGCGCACACACACACACACACGCACACACACACGCACACACGCACACACGCACACACACACACACACATGCACGCACACACACACGCCCAGGTGGTCCACGACCTGAACAAGGACCCCACCCTGCCGTTCCCTGACGCCTCCTTTGACGTGGTGACCAACGCGGTGAGCGTCGACTACCTCAACCGCCCCCTGGAGGTTTTCAGGGAGATCCACCGCGTGCTGAAGCCGGGCGGCCGCGCTATCATGAGCTTCAGCAACAGGTGGGCGCAGCTGGGACCCCGCGGGGGAGGTGCAGCGCGGTGCGGCACGGGGCAGGTGCAGCGGGGGGCGGCACGGCCGGGAAGAGTGGGGCCGGTGTGGGGCGTTTGTGGCGGGGCGAGGGGCACCTATGGACCTGCAGGCTTTTGGTGCGCCGCACACATGGTAGGGTAACCAAGGTCGTTGTGAGAGGAGCATCCAGGCGGCACTGCCTGTCACGTCGGTCATCTGTTGTCCGAATTGGCACCACCAGTGCTCGCTGCGACGCGACCGCTGCAATGTTGCGTGACACGCACGTATTCGCAGTCCACGCGTGACACGCACGTGCACGTGCACGCATGCACGAGTCAACATGAGAGTGCGTGCGCGTCACTCCCCCCCCACACACACACACACACTCTCTCTCTCTCTCTCTCTCTCTCTCTCTCTTACACACACGCATGCACGCACGCACACACACACACACACACACCTACGCACACGCACACGTACACGCACACGAACACCCCTCCCTGCGGCCGCAGGTGCTTCCCCACCAAGGCCATCGCCCTGTGGACGGCCACTGGCGACTTGGACCACATCTGGATCGTCGGCTCCTAGTGAGTGCAGCCCGGATGGGGCCGCGCCGTCCCAGCACGGCCGGCCCGCCTCGCGCGTCACCCAGGGCACTCGGTGCTGCATGCCCTGCTAAAACGCCGTGCAGCACGCCACGCATGCAGGTAGAGCGCCACGCCTGAAGGCGCGTTGCCCGCCCTGTTCTGATCATCATCGGCCCCTCTCGCTCCCCGCCCCTGCCACCCGCGCAGCTTCCACTACTCGGTCCCCGGCGGCTTCGACGCCCCCACGGCGCGCGACATTACGCCCCGCCCCAAGGGGCCGTTTGGCGGCGCGGGTGACCCGATGTACATTGTCACGGCCACCAAGGCACAGGAGGCGTGAAAGCAAAGAGAGCAGGCCGGCGGGCCATCTTGGCGCCGGGCTGGCCATTCCAGCCCCGATGCTATCATGTGGTGATTCTTTCCGTGTCACTGAATTTGTGTGATTCCTGTGATTCACCCGCGTCTTTTTGAGTGTGAAGTAACACAACCCCATTCGGGACTCGTGACACGAAATCACACCGAACTCAGGCGCTCTGGCGGATTCAAAGGGCGTGCACAGTCCAGCGAAGGAGAGGCCTGCAATGCAGCACCAGCATGGCAGCAAACGCCTCCACGCACACGAGGTTTCAACTTCTTGTCTGCAGGCACACGAGAAGGGGTAGTGTTTCAAGGGAGGCAGGGGCGAGGTGCCACTGGCAGGTGTGCAAGGGGCGTGCAGATGCCCGGCTGTACAGCTTGGCGGTTGGCGACTGGGGTGAGCCATTCTTGCGGGTGGTCGGCCCCTTCCCTGCCCCCCTGTGGGACCTGCAGGCTGTGATCGGACTCGTGTTTGTAGGTACATCCTGGACCGAACGGCCCATTGAGTTGAGAAGCAGTGTGTTGTGCTTGGCTGGAGCTTTCAGAGATGCGTGATTGGCATGTCCAAGGGGCGGAGCAGCGCCGCTTCAGCGCTGTCAGCAGCACACGCCGCGAGGCTTCGACGCAGCTGCGTCGCTTGTTTGAGTGCTCATGGTGGCATCTAGTGCTGCAGTACGATGTGCTATCCGAGTGTCACAAAGCGCTTATCACCAACACTATCAGCTCTGAACCCTGCACAAAGCTGCTCAACGATTGGTGTGTGTGATCTGCACGAGCCGGATAGCTAGCCCGCGCCGTGTGGTTGGGGTGAGCCCGTGTGCAGCAGCGGACGGGTATCTTGGCCCCCTGCGCCCTCCCCGGGGCCATGACCTTAGATCGCTACGTGCCACCTGAAGACGCTGCTCCCCACGGCCCCTCCCTCTCGCCTGGGGCGCGCGAGCGCAGCCGTGAGCGCAGTCGTGAGCGGGACAGGGGCCACCGTCATGGCAAACACAAGCACAAGAAGAGCCACAAGAAGAAGGAGCGGCGGTCCGACCGGGACCGCAGCGCGTCGCCACGCCGCCGCAGCAGCGGCGGTGGTGGTGAGCGCGCAGCCGGCAACAAGGGCCGGGCCCCCAGCGACCTGGAGGATGGGGAGATAGCTGCGGAGGAGGGCGAGGTGCCCAGTGGCGGTGAGGCCAAGGAGCAGGCAGGCGATGCTGCCCCGGCACCTGAGGCAGCCCCTGCCCCGGCCCCAGCGCCAGAAGCAGCCCCGGAGGCGCCTCCGGCCGCATCAGCGGCACCCCCGAAGTCGGAAGATGCCTCCGTAGATTTTCCGCCGCCCGCCCCCCCAGCAGAGGTGCCCGCGATCAGCCGCAGCCGTAGCCGCAGCCGGTCGCAGGGCCCCTCGGGCCCTGCGGAGCCCGCCGCCGCAGCGCCCGCCGCTGAACCCCCTGGGCGCGACCGCCGCGAACGCGATCACAGGTCCCGCTCCCGGGCGCGCGACGGGCCGGCCGGCGGCGAGGTCGGCAGGTGCGGCTTTGCTGCTCGACACACGCGCGCGCCCGCACCGCTGCTGCAGCAGCAGATGGCGGCGCAGCGCTGCCACGTTTATCAATCGGGTGCAAGGCAGAGGTGCTGAGCAGAGGACGGGTAGACTGGCACATGCCAGGTCACGGGCCGCTCGTGAGTGTCCCCCACGCCAGCGTCATCCGCTACACCTGCCCTCGTCCCCAACCACTCAAATATCCTGCGGCGCGCGCTGCGCCCGCCACTTCTGCGCCCTTTTGCCTTCCCCAGGCCCTCCAGCCGAGCTCGCAGCCGAGGGCGCAGCCGCAGCCGCAGCCGCAGCCGTGATCGGCGGGCCTCCAAGCCCGACAATCCGGGCCGGGGGGAGCGGGACCGCAGCCGGAGCAGGGGCCGGCGCGACTCTGAGCGGGAGCGGGAGCGGGGGCGCAGCGGGGAGCGACGGCGCGCCGATGACAGCCGGCGCGGCGGCGGCGGCGAGCGGCATACGCGGCCACGGAGCAGCAGCAGGGGCCGCGGCGGCGGCGGTGGCGGCGGATTTGGCGCGGGCGGCGGCGTTAGGGAGCGTCAGCGCTCACGCGAGCGGGCGCGGTTCGGCGGCTATGAGGACCGGCGGCGCGACAGCCGGCGGGCCAGCAGCCGCGAGCGCAATGGCGGCGGCGGCGGCGGCGGGCTGAGGGACAGGAGGCGGAGCAGGAGCCGCAGCGGCTCGCGTGATGGGCGCGGCGGCAAGAGGGTCCGCAGCGACGACGGCTGGGTGAGCGACCTACTGGTGGGGCTGTCGCCCCGGGTGCAAGAGCAGGAAGCTTGATGGCTGCGGGGCAGCCGCCGCAAGTGTCCTGACGATTCACTTCGCCCATGCGCCCATCCCCATTTATGGCCCGCCGCGTGAGTCAATTCCCGCCGCTTTCTCTTGTCACGCCAGCGCCTGCCACACACCTCCTTTCACAGGGCCACGACCGCGGCCGCGACAGGGGGTACGGCGACAGGCACGCCCGCGACGGCGGCCGGCGCGGCGGCCGCAGCGACGAGGACGACGGCCGCGGCGGCCGCAACGGCAACGGCGGCGGCGGCGGCGGCGGCGGTGAGTCGCCAGTGGTGGTGGAGGACCTGCAGATGGTGGACGAGGAGGAGGAGGAGCGGCGGCGCCTGGAGGAGAGCCGGCGGCGGCGCGCGGAGATCCTCGCGAAGCACCAGCAGGCGGCGGCGGCTGCGGCGCCGACGGCGGTCGAGCGGGTCGCGCAGCAGCAGGCGGCCGCCGCGGGCGCCGGCAACGGCGTCGCGGCGCGCGAAGCGGCGGCGGCGGCGGCCGCGGACGGCGCAGCGGAGGAGGCCGGGGGCCGGCCCGCGGTTGAGGGGGAGCCTAGCCGCCCTGCCTCGCCGTCGCGCGGCGCGCCCGCCGGCGACGAGACGCCCGACGGCGCGCGCAGCAGCAGCAGCAGCGGCAGCGAGGACGCGGGGGGCGCCCCCGTCATGGACGTGTTCAACTCCGCGCAGGCCGGCGCGGCCGACGGCGCGGGCGGCGCCGCCTCCGCGGCGGCGCCGCCGGCGGCGCTGGCGCCCGGGACGGAGCCCAACCTCCAAAGCGAGCGGCTGCGCGGGCAGCACATGGAGGGCACGGCGGCGGCGGCGGCCGGCAAGGCGGCAGCAGGGGAGCCGCCAGAGGACGACATGTTTGCGGAGGACTTTGATGCAGCGGCGGCGGCAGCAGCCGCGGCGGCGGACGGCGGCGAGGGGGCGGGGGGCGGCGGCGGCGGCGGCGCGGGGGCTGCGGCGGGCAAGGGGCTGCACGATGCGTATGACGATGCGGAGGGTTACTACAACTTCCAGGTGGGGGTTGCAAAGCGATGTCACGTCATTATGACATCATCGTGGGTCGCCCGCGCCCTGCCTTCTAGTGGGAGGGCGGGCATGCAGGAGGGTGTGGGGGAATGGCGCTGTGGCGTTGGACAAGATGCGCAACCCAGGCGCCAGAGCGCCAGCGCGGGGCGCGCGCCGTCCCCTGCACCGCGGCAAGGATTGAACTCTACCGCTCCTCTCTCCTGCAGCGGGGTGAAGCTTTTCGTGCATTCTTGTACTTAAAGGGTCAGGGTCTCCCACTTTGCAAGCCCTCTATCACATCTAAATCCTGCACCCCCAACCCCAACTTCCCGTGCTGACCTCCCAACCCCCATCCCAGGTTGGCGAGGTGATGGACGGCCGCTACGAGCTGTCTGCCTGCAAGGGCAAGGGCGTGTTCAGCACGGTGCTGCGCGCCCGCGACATGCTGCGCGCTGACGTGCACAACCCGCACGCCAAGGTGCGCGGGGGCAGGCGCTGCCGCGGCGCGGGGGGCGCGCGCCCTTGGGGTCGGAGAGGCCTGCGGAATGGGGGCGTGCTGCTTTCTCAGAACTGCGTTTATCTCGGAAAGGATTGGCCATTGCCTCCGGCACTCACTCCACCACAAGTCGCCCTCCCCGCAACACACACGCACGCACGCACGCACACGCGCACACACACACACACACACACACATGCACATGCACATGCACGCACACACACACACACGTGCCAATACACACCACTTGCACTCCCTTCCATCCCCATCTATCCACATGAAGCACCCCCCCCCCCTTCCCCGCACCCCCCAGCCCGAGGTGGCGATCAAGATGATCCGCGCCAACGACACCATGGCGCGCGC